CTACCCACCAATGTATCTACCTCTCCCCCTCGTTTACTGTTATCTGTGAACTTGTTGAGGTTCCAATCCATCCCCCTCATCCAGGTCATTAATAAAGATGTTGAACAAAATTGGCCCTAGAACCAATCCTTGGGGCACTTCAATGGGGCACTTCAATTGAAACCGACCATCAGACAGACATTGAGCCATTGATCACTACCCATTGAGCCCAACAATCTAGCTAGCTTTCTGTCCACCTTACAATCCATTTATCCATTCTTCCTTAACTTGCAAGGTATATCACATATCACATATCACAACTTCCCCATATCTACAGAGCCAGTTACCTCATCATAGAAGATAATCAGGGTGGTCAGGCATGATTTGCCTTTGGTGAATCCAGGTTGACTATTCCTGATCAATTTCCTCTCTTCCAAGTACTTCATGATTACTCTCCATGATTTTTCTGTGGACTAAGGTAAGGCTGGCAGGTCTATAGTTCCCTGGATCGTCCTTCTTCCCTTTTTAAAAGATAGGCACCACATTTGCCTTTTTCTAGTCTTCTGGGACCTCTCCCGAACTCCATGAGTTTTCAAAGATAATGACCAAAGGCTGTCCAATTGCGCTTTCACCTTCCTGATTACTCCCCTGCATTCTTGAGCAAAATATTTATACTCTTCCCTAGTCATCTGTCCAAGTTTCCACTTCTTGTAAGTTTCCCTTTTGTGTTTAAGCTCACCAAGGATTTCACTGCTAAGCCAAGCTGGTTGCCTACCACATTTGCTTTTCTTCCTGTTCCTTCAATAAGGCTTCTTTAAGATACAGCCAACTCTCTTGGACTCCTTTCCCCCTCATGTTAGCATCCCAGGATATCCTGCCCATCAGTTCCCTGAAGGAGTCAAATTCTGCTTTTCTGAAGTTCTGAGTACTAACTCTTCTGAAAATTCCCATGATGTTTTTTCAATTTTGGGAGGTTCTCTCCCATTTGGTCCATGGAGGGAGTGGAACTTGTTCCTCCTCCATCTTACAGAAAAGTCCATGAGGGTTGGTGCCTCCAAATTTACATGTCTCCTTTGGAGAACGCTCCAGGCACCACCCCTGACTTAGCTACCTCCAGGACCTACAAACATATACACAAAGATAGTAAGACCAAGTTATTCTTTTTTGCATAAGGTCCACTGGGAGGATAATGTTCATTGCCACCCGCAACTCAGCCTGCCGGTTCCCTCCCAGACTCTGCCTCCTTTTGTTTCTCCTTGCGGATTCTCAAACCTCTGAAGAAGGCATGCAGGCACTGTTAAGTCCCTTTCTGTGCAGGAGAGATCTGCATGCTGGGGATGCCCTACATGCATTCATCTGGAGAGATTATCTGAGTCTTTATTATGCCATAAGTATTTCAGAAGTAATTAAAGTTGCAACTGCTATACAAATTAAACCTATTTTTAGTTTTATTTAGCTGCTCCAGTACATAAAAATAGTCCAGTAATATTCAATGTTTTTTGTTAATGACATGGATAATGCAGTGGGAAGAATATGTTTATAATATTTAGAATGAGAGGGGTTGCAGGTGCATTGGAAGACAGACTTGGTATTCAAAAAGAGCTTGATAAATTAGAGAATTTACTTGAAGTCAACAAGAGAAATATAGTACTTTGCATTTATCCTTACTGAGATGGAGGAAGGAAAAAAACAATTGCTTAACTACACCATGGGAATAGCTGACTAAGCGGTAGTACTGCAGAAAAAAGTCTGGGGTTATCATGGATCATAAATTGAATATGAGCCAACAATATGATGCAGCTGCACAAAAGGTTAATGTAATGTGTATAAACAGAAGTGTAATTGTTCCACTCCACTTGACACTGGTGAGGTAATTGTTCTGCTGTACTTGGAACTAGTGAAGCCTTAGCTGGAGTAGTGGGTCCAGTTTTGTGTGCCTCTCTTTAACAAATTGGAGAGAATCAGGGGAGAGCAACACAAGTGATAAAAGAGTTTAAAAACCTGACCTATGAGGAAATAGTGAAAGAAAACAGTTTGTATGTATAGTCTTGAAAAAAGGAAGGCTGATAACAGGCTTCAACCATGTTTAAAGGCCTTTATAAAGATGTTGATGATCAACTGATCTCCGTGCCCACTGAAAAGAGGACAAGACGTAATGGGTGTAATTTGTAGAAAAGAGATTTAGGTTAAATGTTATGTAAAAACTGTTTAACCATGAGCGTAGTTAAGCTCTGAAATAGGCTTCCAAGGAAGTCTGTAGCATCCGCATTATTGGAGATTTTAAGAACAGGTTAGAACCTGTCAGGAAAGACCTTGGTTTACTTGGTACTAGCTCACTGTGGGGGGCTGAACTAGATGACCTCTAAAAAGTCCCTTCCAGCCTTACATATCTATTATTTCTATGATTTTCCATTGCATGGGACGTGTGATTGATAGGTAGGGGCAAGGATCATGAAAATACATGAGTGGTACAATAAGGCACTTCTTGGGCACCTGCATTGATTTCTAGTGCCCTGTTTTAAGACTTTGTCCTGGAGCTGAGTCAGGTGACCAAAGGTCACAGGGTAACATCCCAGACATGAGGCTTACTGTAAGTGGGTACCTTTTCAGTGAAAAGAGATGGCGACCTGGCTGGAGTCCTTGCTACACCATCTGGGGTATACTAGAGATGTAGGAGTCTCAGCTGGAAAAGACTTTAGGAAAGAGGAGGTTTGGGGTTGGTACTGGAGAGTGTGAGGAAGAGGGCTAATAGATGTCTTTCTAAGTTGCCATTGAGCTGTTTTACTGAAAGGGAGGCAGGACTTAACTTTCAATGATCTTGGAAATGCTGCAGTGCACCCGTGTTTTCAAAGAGCTCATTTCTCTGCCCTTTTCCAAGGCAGCTGAGCACACATCGTTCGGTTATTCACTTTTGAGTCATGAGTGCTAAATGAAATCAATTTGAAAAAGAGTTATTACCTTAACAGGCCGTAAACATTTCTGCCTTGACTGGCAAACAATCATTAAAAGCCTTTATTAAATTTTGCATCTGTTCCGTTCACCACTTAGCCATTTCTTTTCATTCTGAAGGATTATAACCAAGAATGAATGAGTCTCCTCCAAGATTGGTCAGGGCACAATATATTTATGAAGTAACTGAATAATCCTTTCCTCCATATACACAGATTTATTTTTTATATTTGCTAAAAATATTCGCTCTCTTACATTCCCGTGACAGCAGACTTTTATCCTGTGAGTAATGACACTCAAGATCAGGCAGCTTGTTAAAAAAATCCAACAACAATTGGACAGTGTTCAGTGCCTTTCCCAACAAAAATCTATGTTCCTCTCACTCACAAACTCATCTTCCCAGTGCAATACAGTGACGTGTGCATTTTCAGAAAAACCAAAACAGACAATTTCAGGCAAAAGGTAAATTAGCCCACTTAGGGTATGTCTAGACTACAGGGTTTTGTTGACAAAAGTTGGCTTTTGTCAACAAAACTATACCTGCATCTACACTACCGCCGCGTTCTGTCGACAGTAAGTCGACAGAATGTGGCAGTTTTGTCGACAGCGGTAAACCTCATTTTACGAGGAATAACGCCTTTTTTCGAAAGATAGCATCTAGACTCTCTTTCAAAAAAGCAGCTTGCTTTGTCGACAATACTGATCGTAGTCTAGACGCTCTTTTTCGACAGAGGCTTTGTCCACAGTATCTGTCGACAAAGCCTCTGTTGAAAAAGGCGTGCAGTCTAGACATAGCCTTAGTCTCAGTACAAGGTAGCAACTGTTTTTCACTAGACGAGGCCCCTACACACAGTGATTTGTACATTTATTGTCTGCAGCCTGGATTATTATGAAAGCTGAAGACAAGTCTCAAAGGGGTAGCCGTGTTAGTCTGTAGCTGCAAACACAATGAGAAGTCCTGTGGCTCTTTAAAGACTAACAGATTGCATCTGATGAACTGGGTTTTACCCAGGAGTGCTTATGTATACATAAACCTGTTAGTCTTTAAGGTGCCACAGGACTCCTCATTGGTTTTGTATCTGAAGTGGAATGTGAAACCAATTCAAGGGTTTCTGGTAGTGCAAAATGCTACTGCCTGCCTTTTAGGTCTCCATGATTCTCTCATGCCTGAGCTTCACTTTCTCTTCTGGCTCCTCCTTCACTTCCACTGCTTGTTTGATCTGTCCTGATCTTCAAAGCCAGTAAATAGATCAGATCCATCCCAGCTGTACTAGAGCCCACATTTCCCTCTTCAGAATGCCATAGCCAAGGCTCAGAATGGTGGATGTGAGAGCTAAGGACAAAGAATTCTTAACTGAGGGGACTTGCCTGACTTCCAGGAGGCGATTAGAAAAATCAAGAGTGGCCAAGTTTAGGAAACACACCAAAATGTCTTTATTATGAGAGCTTTTCCCGCAGAACCAACATGAGTCACAACCTTCTCCCCATCTTAACTACCACAGAAAAAGCCCTGCCTCAATCACAGTTTTCTATATCCTAAATAGGGAAGAGAGGTGGCCAGTTAGCCTGCTTTAGAAAACAAGTTTTAGTGGTAATGTAGACCTTTGTGGTCTTACATGGTAAAGTATGACAAATTACCATCAGCTATTACACACACAAAACAGGGATAGCATATAGCGCTAAAAAAAATGTTTCATAAGCACATACAGTACTGCAGTTAGCATGACATAACACCATGAATTCAGAGTGGCTGCAGATATAGTTTGTTCTTTTTCTTTAGTGATTCCAAGAAATTACTTTCTGGCAGATGTTGTGCTCATTGAAGTTAACGTGAAATGCTGCACGGGCCTTGAATCTAATCTTGTCAACTACTCAGTGCTCTAAAATCCTACATTAGAGCCCAATTCTGTAAGGTCCTGGGGCCCTCTTGGATGATTTACTAAACACTCTCACCAACTCTCTGCTGACTCTACCTCCAGAAACCAAGAATCCTCCTCAGCCTCTTCATCGCTTTCTTCTTGAATTGTGTGAAAACATTAAACATCATTGCGACTTATTTTCTTGTCTTTTAGCTGGATACTGAGAAGACAAAATTGAAGTCGGAACGATGGGCTTCCAGGGAGAGTGGCAGTGGAGGTGGGAGAAGTGAAGCAATGGAATCAAGCGGGGACTGTGACGATGAGGATGGATGTCAAGGATCTGGTGACAGAATTCACACAACAGGTAAACACAGCAAAAATGTTCTATGAATGTTCATTCATATTTTAAAGCAGGTTTCAACTGGGTTGTGTTTTGAAGTTTTTCCATGAACATGAGTAAAGGAAAACATGATGCTTGTGGAAAGTGAATTTAAACTTAGATCTCAAGTATTTGTTGAAAGTGAATTTCAAAATGTCATATTGGATTGTAATATCTGAAATGTGCATTGTGTTGGTGACTGTCATCAAGGTTTTTTTAAAAGAGGCATTAGGCAACTAACCAAAGCAATATCACTTTCAGAATTGAAATGCTGGATATTTGCAGCTGCAGCTGGTTGAGAAGAATGACAACAGAACTTTTTTTTAATGAAATGAACCTTTTAGCAGAAATATATTGATTTTTGACAAAAAGATTTTTCATGTCTTGAGAAAGAGCTGCCAGGGAGGAAAAATCTACCCCAGAATAGTCAGTAATCCAGCATTCAGAGCTCTTAACTGGGTTGTAGATAGACCTAGGTTCAAGTCCTTGCTCTGGTGGGTTGATTGTATATGTCTGCATCTTTTCATGGGTTTCATTTTTGTTTGTCAGGGTGAAAATTATTTTCAGAATATTGAAATTTTAAATGAAACAAAAAATTGTTTCTCGGCCAGCCCTATTTCCTGCGTTGGGCAGGGGGCAGGACTTGAGGACCTCTTGACGTCTCTTCCAGCCCTAGGATTCTCTGATTCTATGCTTCTGAGATATTCAAATGTGGACAAGAGAGTATTCATGGAAACTATAAATAATTTTGAATAAGAAATAAATGTGGAGATTTTCCACATGCTTCTTGCAAATGTTTTACAAACAAAGCTTAGGAACTGAAGATGAATACATTATTTATTTTAAAATATTTACTCGACAATTAATATTCTATTGTTTGCATATTGTTCTGACTTCTGAAAAATTTCTTATTTATGCCCCTGACACATGAGATCAGAGTGATGAAAATTTGAAGTAATATGATTTTTCTTTGCAGGTGCTACATTGTAAAAAATAAGTAGGTGCTAAATCCTTTCCAGTTGATAATTGAACTATTTATATATTGTTATACTGCCAAAACACACAGTGACTCTTTTCTAACTAAAAAATGAAACAATAGAAGCTTTGAAAATGTTGTTTATAGTTTACTTTAATAATGTGAAATAAGGAAGCAATCTGTTGAAATAAAATTATTTATGATGAGATTGTTGTGGATGGAAAAAAACAATATTTGTATAACTAGCTCCTTCATTGGTTTGGTAGGTATTATATCAACTAAAATATAAGTACAATTAATTTGACCACATGCTTTAGATTTGGAACTGTAAGAGTAGATATTCCTTCTGAAAATGTGTAACAGTGTGTCATAATTAATATATTATATTACTAGCAGTAAGTTTGCAGATGATACCAACTTGGGAGGGGTTGCAAGTGCTTTGGAGGATAGGGTCATAATTCAAAATGATCTGGACAAACTGGAGAAATGGTCTGAGGTAAACAGGATGCAGTTTAATAAGGACAAATGCATAGTACTACACTTAGGAAGGAACAATCCATTTCACACATACAGAATGGGAAGTGATTATCTAGGAAGGAGTAACTGAAAAAATAATGAATAGTCCAGCAGCACCTTAAAGACTAATAAAACATGTAGATGGTATCATGAGCTCTTGTGGGTACAACCCACTTCTTAAGATGAATGGAGTATTAAAAGTCCAGTACCAAAATAAATACAGGATGGGGGTGGGGGAGGGAGGGGAAATTGTGAATTACAGTGTTCATGATACAAGAAGCTGATGGCTCCCAAATCTGTAAATGAAGTTAAGTTCCAACACTTCTCTGTGTATTTGGCTTGTGCAGTTGGCCTGAAACAACACAGTGACTTTGAGATCCATTAGTGAGTGCCCGGGCAGGTTAAAGTATTCTCCAGCAGGTTTCTGTTTATTGCCTTTTCAGATATCTGATTTGTGTCCATTAATTCTTTCCCGTAGAGACTGTCCAGTTTGGCCAATATGCATGGCAGAGGAACATTGCTCGCATTTGATGGCATTGATCAGATTGGTGGATGTGCAGTTAAATGAGCTCCTGTTATAGTGGCTGATGTAGTTAGATCCAGTGATGAAATCATTTGTGTAGGTGTGTGGACAGAGTTGGCACAGAGGCTGATTGCAGATGTGGGTTCCTGGATGATTATGATGGAGATGTGCTACGTGGTCACTGGAAAGAATTGTTTGAGGTTAGGTGGTTTTCTGTAGGTAAGAACTGGCCTTTCCCGCAAGGCCTGTGAGAGTGAGGGGTCATTTTCCAGAATGGTCGATAATGTGTTGGAAGGGTTTAAGGGGATAATGTGTTGGAAGGGAAGAGCCGGGTTTGGGCAATCTGCGCATGCGCAGATCGCCGGACAGCGCAGCTCACCGTGGTTCGGCAAGCCCTGTCTATATAGAGCCTGTAGGTGTTTGTCTCTGTCTGTGGGATTGGAGCAAATCCGGTTGTATCTTAGGGGTTGGCTGTGAGAAATGTGTCTTGGATGGAAGCTAGCAGCATGAAGGTAAGTGTTGCAGTTGGAAGGTTTCCAGCATAGGATGGTGGAAATGTGTCCATCATGCAATTGTACTGTAGTGTCAAGGAAGTGGATCTTTCATGTGGACTGATCCAGGCTAAGGTTGATGGTGCAGTGGAAGTGGTTAAAAGCCCTGTGAAATTCTTCAATGGTCTCTTTCCCGTGCATCCATATGATGAAGATGTCATCAGTGTAGCGTAAGTAGAGTAAGGGTGCTAGGGGGCGAGAGCTAAAGAAACGTTGTTCAAGATAGGCCATAAAGACATTGGCAAATTGTGGAGCCAGGCAGGTGCCCATGGATGTGCTGCTGACTTGAAGATACAAATTGTCTCCTAATCAGAAGTGGTTGTGGGTGAGGACAAAGTCACAGAGCTCTGTAACTAGGTGTTCAGTGGTGTCACCAGGGATGATGTTCCTGATAGCCTGTAATCTGTCTTCATGTGGAATGTTGGTGTAAGGAAAGCACATGATGCCATCTACATGTTTTGTTAGTCTTTAAGGTGCTGCTAGACTATTCGTTGTTTTTTAAGTTTTTCCAGTTACAGACTAACTCAGCTACCCCTCTAAAGTTTAAGGAGACTAGAAAAAGGATCTAGGGCCATGGTCACCAACCGGTCGATTGCGATCGACTGGTCAATTGCAAGTCCTCGACCAGTCGATCGCAGGGCGTTCGCCCCCCCTCTATTTTCCCTCCACCTCCAAGAAGCCCCATTACCTACCTCCAGCAACAATGGAGGTAGTGCCGGCTTCCCATGGGGTGGACGGAAGTCCTGCAGCTTCACGCCACTTGCGGGGATTCTGGAAGTGTGCTGGCTGCTCCCCTCCCACAGGTCTGTGGCATGCCAGGCGCACTGCGGGAGGAGGCATCAGCCCCAGAGGAGAAGAGCGGCAGCTTCCCTGCGCCACAGGAGGGGTGAGTCGGCCCTGGGGGAGGCACGAGCGGGAGTGGGAGGTCAGCTCCAGGGCAGGCACACACAGGAGGGAGGGGTCGGCCCCGGGACAGATGCGCGTGGGGGTTTCCCCATACTGCAGGAGGGGGGAGTCGTGCCCGGAGGAGGCACGCGCTGGCTTCCCTCTTGGGGGATGGGAGGAATCCTGGGAGGAGGCAGGTACAGGAGACTCCCTGCTCTCAATGGCCCCCTGCTCCCCTACCCCCTATTCCCTGCCCCTTGCCCCCTCTTCCCACCCCTCAGCCACCGGCCCTGGGGGAGGCACGAGCGGGAGTGGGAGGTCAGCTCCAGGGCAGGCACACACAGGAGGGAGGGGTCGGCCCCGGGACAGATGCGCGTGGGGGTTTCCCCATACTGCAGGAGGGGGGAGTCGTGCCCGGAGGAGGCACGCGCTGGCTTCCCTCTTGGGGGATGGGAGGAATCCTGGGAGGAGGCAGGTACAGGAGACTCCCTGCTCTCAATGGCCCCCTGCTCCCCTACCCCCTATTCCCTGCCCCTTGCCCCCTCTTCCCACTCCCCAGCCACAGAACCCTGTCCCCACTCCCGGCCCCAGCCACAGAACTCTGTCACCAGCGGCAACCTGTCCCCAGCTGCAGAAACCTGTCCCCACTGGCACTCTGTCCCCTGCTGTGGAACCCTGTTCCCTCGCCTCCCAGAACGCTGTTCCCTCTCCCCTGCCCCCAGCTGCAGAACTCTGTCCCCACTGGCACCCTGTCCCCTGCCGAAGCACCCACTAGCACCCTTCCCCAGTACTATGTCCCCTGCTCCCACCAACACAGTTGGGGCCACATTAGTGAAGCTTGACCCGGGGGGGGGAGAGTTTTTTTGCATCTCACTTGTGTGGCCCCAACTGACTTTTCTGTGGGTCAGTGACCCCTGACTCAAAACAGGTTCCCCGCCCTTCTCATAAATAAAGACAATGCAGAAACTTTTTGTGTTTGACATAATATTTTATTTAAAAATGAAGCCTGGCCAACAAACCCCCAATTGGATCCAAGCCCCCATCTGGCCACAGCATCATAACACTCCTGCACTCCCCTTTCCCCCAGAACCTGCATCTGAGCCTATCATACACTGGAACCTCCTGCCCTGAGCCCCTCACATACCCCAACCCAAATTCCTGAACCCTCACAT